AAATATAAAAAACTGATATAAAAAATAATAAAATAATTAGATAAAAAAAAACATTAATGCAGTATATATAAGTTTTATAATAAGATAAATTAACAAAAAATATAATATTAAATACAGTTTTGTTATTATATTTGTCAATATGTTGAATTAAAGTTTAAATTATTTAATTATAAAGAAGAAATAATAAGTTATAATAAAGAAGAAATTTGTTAAAACATATATAAAAATTATAAAAGATTAAAAATATTGAAAATAATCTTATAAGATTGTTTTTTATAAGATTAATTATTATATACTTAGTTTTTATAATTGTGCAAATAAACTTTTTATGTTTAATTTGAGTTTAATTTGGTTTAAGTTGAACCTGAACTCAAATTAAATTCAAACAGTAAATTTTATTAATTTAAACCTAAACTTGAACTTAAACTTGTACTTCTTAAATTTGAATCAGACTTGAATATAATAATAAATTTAATCTGGATTTGGTTTAAAATTCATAAACAAGTTTGGATTTGAATATAAAATATTTTAAAAAAAGTTTGTAATCTAAAGTTTAACAAACTCAATTTTTGAATATTTTTCAAAAATTGAATCCAATAAACTATAATCTTTACTATCATATAAATAGAATTTTAACTTATATACTTTTTTCTTATTTAATCAATATACTGTATCATATATTAAAAAGATAAGTATATTTTATAATTATAATAACAATAAACTTATAACACTTACTATCATATAAATAGAACTTCAACTTATACACTTTTCTTTTATTTAGTCAATATATTGTATTGCATATTAAAAAGATTAATAAGCATATTTTATAATTATAATAACAAAGGTTTCCTCCAACCCATCTTAGTTAAAAAATAATTTGAAATAATTATTTATAACACTCATTAGGAAATAGAAGATGCAATGTCATATTGGGTGTTGATATCAATGTCAACTAACCTGTATCTGGTATATGAATGAGAATTTTTAGTTCCGAAGGAACGTCCAAAGAGCAAAATTTGGAACGGACAGTATTTTTTTTTTCTTGAATATATCCGCATTTTATGTAAAACAATGATAGATTCACGAACTACAATTACTTCGTTAAGAGAATTAAATTACAAGCTTACATTCGAGATTGTTTAGTCAATTAATATACGCGTCCTGTAAATTTATAATGATAATATAAAGAACTCATTATAACGAACAAAATCTCTGTATAAAGAAAGGAAACTGCAGTCTTAAAAGAATTATATAGTTAAAAAAAAACGATTATCATTCATCCTCTCGGTCAATTTAAATTATATATTTTTTGTCAAATTATTTGTCAACGGAAAATTCATCACATCCAAAAAAAAAAATTACGTATGAATATCTTATAGCGACTAACAGCAACTATTATTTTTAAATTATTTTACATAATTTATTTTTATGTAAAATTTTTACATTAGCTTTGGATGTTGTCATTTTTCAAGCTTGACCTGCCAGCCCTCATCATTTCATCGACCAGTAAGAAGTTACTCGCGATAACGGAACTAAATTATTAATTCGTCAGAAATTTACCCTAATTATGATTTTAACCATTCATTAATAAAAAATTAAACTTACCTTGAGTGAATCATATGACGAACAACTCTATAATTATCCCAAATTCCTTCTAATGCTGGATCAAGGGTTCCTCCAGTATTTAAATCTACTCCAACTACATGTCCTGCTGCGTATTCTTCCTATTATTTTATCATAATTATGCTATTATCGTACACACCAAATTCAATATCACATTAAATAAAGAATATTAACCTGCAAATTAACAATAGTATCCTGTGTATCAAACCCTCCGTTTTGTGCTAAAACTTTTGGTATAATCAGCATTGAATCAGCAAAAGCTTGTACTCCCATCTTCACTCGTCCTTTAACATTATCCTTGAATTTTGTTAAATGCGAACACAGTGCAACTTGAAATGCACCGGCCCCTGGTATTACACAATTGTCTTCAATTGCATTTTTTACGGCTCTTAATCCATCACGAACTGCGTCATTGATCTGTGCAATTGTATGCGCGTTAGGACCTATTCATATAATTGTAATTAATAATTGTAATATTATCAAGCATATTTCACCTCTTCTGATATTCGGGAAAATTTTATATAACAATTAACTACCTTTAATCAGTATTGTAACTGATTTCGGATTTTTAACCTCTTCAACAAATGTATATTTTTCTTCTCCAAGAATATGTTCATAAATAAGCCCTGCATATCCGAGGACTTCGGGTGTTAAGTCGTCAACTGAATTTTGCGCAGTACCACCACAAATAAATTGAAGTCTTTTTTATTAATGAAAGAAGCATTAATAATTAACCTATTTTTAATATAACAATCCACATAAAGCCGGATACTAACCTCTCCATATTTCTTCTTTTGGCACGCCTCAACGCCAAAATACCATTCTTACAAAGAATGTCCAACGATAATGGATCAATTCCTTTTTGATTAATAACAACAAATCCTTTTTTGCTATCTCCTACAACCTGTTTTTTCAATTCGACAATCTTTTTGACTTTCTCATCTGTAAATTTTCTTTCTGATTCAACCAATTTTTCTCGTTGTTCAGCATTCGAATAAAAGAACCCGGAATTAATTTCACTAAAATAATTATTTTTATGATTGTAAAAGAGTAATATAATATTCCAAAGCTCTAAAGTGAATAGATAATAATTAACAATACCTTTTCTCGTATTCCAAGGATACATTCAATGTTAGAATAAATGCATCTTCAACACGCTTTGGCATGTCAGGGTGACGAGCACCATGATCCAATACAAGTCCACGAATCAATCGCGAATCAACTCCTGTTTTATGTTGCATTTTCATAATTTCTACCATATGCAAGTCGATTGATTCGTTATCGCGTTTAATCGTCAAAACTGCATCAACAATGGCTTCAGTTAACGTGTCCGCAAGAAAGGTATGGACTTTGGTGCGTAAAGAAGTACGAGCGACATTAACCAACAGTTCTCGATCAATGGGCCTTTCAACTTTAAATTTGTCTAAGAACTATTTTTAATAGTGGTGTTAGCTGATCTGTTTTCAGACCTATACTTAATTGATTTTAATCAATTAATTACCCTAAGTGCTTCATCTCTTGCGAGATCAAAACCCTCTGTAATAATTCTTGGATGTAGTCCTTCCGAGATATATCTTTCCGACTGTTTCATTAGTTCACCAACTAATAAAACGATTGATGTTGTACCATCCCCAGTAATCTCATCTTGAGCGGTCGCAGCTCTTGCGATCATTGCAGCAGTAGGATTTTGTATTTGCTTAACCAAACCCAAATTTTTTCGGGATTTGAATATTTAAATTTTCTTAAAGCTTTAATTCCAATGATTATATTTACCATTTCACTCAATAGCACTTTGCCATCCTTGGTGATCTTGATGCTACCAGCTCCATCAACTAGCCTATATATATTATGAATATCATATTTGCTCTATTTTTGTACACCAAAATGAAATTGGTGCGGCGTAAACTTACATTTTGATCGTTCCTTTTGGACCAAGATTTGATTTCAGCACTTCCTGTAAACCAATAGCAGCTGTGATATTAAGTTGAAGGGCCTGCCCTCTTCGGGCAACTTCTGACTTTGGATTAATAAGTTGTACGGCTGAAGCAGACCTACCCAACAAAGGAAAAATTTAGCACATGCTTACAGTAAGGACTCTTTTTTATAATGACAGAAGCTGCTATACATGGGTGTCGAAAGTATTTTGCTCTTGGCGTAAATTTAAATGGCGAAAATGATTTTTAACAATCAAAAATTGTTGAAAATATTTTAGTATGCTGAAAATATTTCTGTATGTTGAAAATATTAAAATGTCATTTTTTGTGATCTCCCGTGATAATTAACGTTAGCGTTAACCAATCAAAATACATAATTTGTAAAATATTTTATCGCTATCGTACTAGAAAACGAGAATTTATCACATATATCTAGAGAATAGATAGACATACGTAAAGTGGGTAAATGTTATTTTATTTATTATTAATAAACCCAAACTCATTAAAACATTTATAATATATAAACCAAAACTTTTAATTTACAATTGACAAACTCAAACATTACAACAAACATTAAAACAATATTAACTCAAGTCCTACTACTAAATAGCTTGTACCTATTCAAATTAAACAGTTAGCAATAAAAATTTAACGTAATAAAATGGCTTTAGACGAAAACGTTTCTAATTGCAGTATAATTATAATTTGATATGGTTCAATATGGGACCTTGCTCGTCTTTTGTGTTCGTTTATTTTCTTTCGGATTATAATAATGACTGCCATAAATCATTTCGAAAGTCTACAATATTTTTGACAGTAATAAGATTTTTGACAGACAATAATAATTTCGACAGCCGAAAATAATTTCGCCGTACGCCATTTTGGAATGCAATGGCAAAAATATTAAAAACATTTCGCCATATTGCGTACGGTGGAACACTCATACTCAGGGGAACATTCAGACTCGAACATTTAGACATTTAGACTCGGGGGTCTGCCGTAAATCATCCATAATTTCGACACCCATGTATAGAAGCTGCGTTTCAAGGTATGTGTTCTCACACCTTGATAAAATCCGATGTCAAACATTCTTAGTTTTACAAAACGCGAAAATATTTGACGAAAAAAATCTAATGAATGAATCGAATAATATTAACACCGATATAAAGTTGGATGGTAGAATCATGTGATTATAAATATTTTTTGTGCTGCGGAGATAGTATGCGATTAACATTTTATAGTAAAATGTCATTGGTGATTTCTGTTTATAGTCACGCGAGAAAGTCCTATATGCGAAATTCTTCTTATTAAATATCCAGTAAATTTAAACGCCATAAAAAATAATTCAAAATTCATTTTCATTATTATTACAGCCGTTCGAACATTTAATTGAGGCGGCAAGAACGTTAAAACTGCATCGCGAGCCGGTCATATTGGAACATAATGAGTGTGGACCAAGAAGACTCATCTATGTGGGAGTTCATGCTCGAAGTCGTGTCTAAAGGGGCAGATAATGTTGTTCGGTGGCTTCCTGGGATCGAGGTAGTAGATATCGACGGACAACCTTTGGAACCACGCGAATATCAGCCTACTTTATGGAATTTTTTATACTCTAATCATTTATACTTGGCAATCTTTGTGGTAAAAATAATCTCTTACTTTCGATTTTGTTTTTTTTTGTTCATGACTTTCGTAAATAGCTCTTTTCACAATTTCGATCTATATATCACAGAATGTTTTAAACAATAGAATAAACGCCATTGTCACTCCCCGTAACCCAAGACCTTTGCCAAAAACTACCCGCCTGTTAATTCGATTACCGTGTTTTTATCTAATGGCAAAGTCTTCACTTGTTCTTTTATCACGACTAGCGATAGGTGCTATGTGTTTGCAACCGTATTTCTCACAATGGCTTTTAGATTACGGTGCGGGTTATACCGACCATCAAGCACTTTGGTTATGTTTAAAGGCATTATCTGCCATATACGTCATGAAAGCTTTCCATTCAAGTCTTGAAAATAGAAGGCAAGAAAAAAAAACTTTATTTTTAATGAAATTATAATTCCTCATTATTATTAAATATGTTAATTTACATTAAATTTAGTTTGCCGGGCAGGGAACAAAGTGCTACTCTATATGAATATGCCTTATTGTTTCATTATTTCTGTAATGTTTCACCAGGCCAGTCAAATACCGATTTGCTTCTTATAGCAATACTCGAAATTTTCGATATATTTCTTCTTGAGGTTCTATATCTTCATCCACGCGGAATCCAGTATCGACTCATACCTACTACTATAATTGGCGTTGCAGGAATAAGTAAGTTGTAATTGATTTTATCAGGAAATTTTTTGGCCGATGGATATCGATTGTTATTTAGGGTTGTTAATTGATTAGCAATGTCGTGCTTGAACTTAGAATCTGCTTGAAGTTGTAATTTCAAATGCCTGAAGTTGAAACTGTCTAAAATTACTAACTAACGCGGGCAAGGAAGATCTAATTTCAGGGGTTAATTTTAGTTAGTGTGCCTAAATTGGTAATTTCAAGCACGACCTCCACTGATATAGATCGATAGTTATTATATAAATTTGATCGATAATAATCGATTAATTGTTAGTAATCGTTATTAATCAGCCAAAAAAAAATTTCCTGACGCTAAAAGATCTTTGTAAACCGATCCAATCAATCTAACATTTAATTTTATCATTTGATACAGTTCATTATGCCTACGCTTTACTTGCTAAATCAGATACCTATCCTATGCTTCAAAGTTTTGCACGTTTTCCAGAGCTTGCTTTGATAGCTATTATTATAATTTGTGTTACTCTCCACGTAATTGCATATATCGTAACTGGTGGCAACGTTCGTCGAACTTTCTTCTTGGATGCTAGGTCTATGCCATCACTTCATGAGGATTATACAATGGCACTATATAGAATTGGTACTATTGTCATAGAAACTAGTCGTGTTGATGGATTTCGTAATGAATTGTCTCCAATAGCTGTTCCACTAGGTACGATATTTGAACGTTCTAAAAAAAAGAAACCACGGTTATCTGTTGACAGTTCGAGCAAAAGAAAACCAACGTGCGGATACGATAACGAACAACAGGATACAAATGACCTTATTTCTACGGAGTCTAATGGTGGCCCGCGTCGTGTAATTGTTTGGACAAATTTCGTATTTCAGATTATTCAAGTAATTGTAGAAGCTATAATGCGTGTCATAAGTTGGTTCAAATCATTCTGTAATGGACGCCAACCAGCACCGAACAACACACCGCAATACAACAATAATATTGATGGTGTCGATGATATTGATCGGGATGAGGAAATATATCACAGATTTCTTTATGAAGAATTCGATGAACGTGACGATGAAGACGATGATTTTGCAAATCTAAAAGAAGAAGATTCCATAGATGAAGATTCAGATCAAGACGAGACTACCATTCCTGGCGATGAACTTTTACTATTAGGAAATGATTTAAGAGAACATGAAGAACAGCAACCATCAACATCATTCGCTTCGACATCTAATGTTCTATCTACATCATCATCAGCTTCGACAGCGAATCTTTTGTCAACAATGCAATCTATTCTTACACATTTGATGTATTCCACACCTCTTACTCGTACACAATATCGACGGCTCACGCAAAACAGTATGTCATCTACGCCTGACGAGTCTGCCGCATTATTGGCACTAATTCATGAAAGGCGAGTACCATGCGAGTTAACATCCCAACCTATCACAGACCGAGTTTGTGTTGTTTGTCATGGAGAAGCTCGTCAATGCCTTCTTAAACCGTGCGGTTGTTTCGCGCTTTGTAATGAGGTTTGTTCAATTAATTCTTTTTTAATTCCTTTTTACATATTTTGTTTAAAAAAGGATTCAATTGTACTAAAAATTACAATAATATTTTTTTCAGTGCCGTGAAACGATGGCCCAACGCAAATATAAGTAAGTTATTTATACAAAATTAGATATTTTTGATCAATTTTTTTAATTGTCATTTTTTTTTTTTTTTTTTTCTAGAACTTGTCCTTGTTGTCGTCGAACGGTTGAAGGATATTCTAGAGTTTATGTTCCATAATGACATTCGAAAAAAAAAATAAAAAAAAAAAGGATTAAAAAAATTTACCAATAACACACATGTTAAAAATATTTTTTGGCAGTTAGTTTAGAACATTCGATCTTTTTTCTTTTTCATGTGCTATGACCGTAAATTCAACTTCAGACGATTTCCCAAGTATATATGAAAAATTATGTATACGAGAATCTCTGAAATTGGTTTTGATTATAGTAGAACTTCCAAGAATAAACAATTATCTTTTGTGCGGGAGCATATCCCATTGATAGTTAAACTTTTTATGGTATGGACAAATTTTATTTCAATTAAAAATTCGGCTTAGTCGACTGGATAAATTTATAACGAAATGGGTGATGCCAAGAAAACCAGTATTCGATCATATAAATTTTATATGAGCGAAGGCGAGATCTGATTTTCCCTTGGCTTCACCCAAATAAAATAAATATTAGATCGTATTCTGCACTATGCTTTAGTTGTCACTAATCAATCAGAATTCGCGCGCGTAGATAAATTTTTTTTCTTTTATCATTTCTTAGGTAAGACAAACACGGTTCTTTTGAGTCTTTTCACCGTGGAACTAATACTTTTTAATAGGTCTGTTAATTTCATCCGTTAGAATCGTTATTGAAGTCCGGGATATTTTAATTGAGATTGACTTGTCGGAGGTGGGAGAATTGAGTCTAATGCTTTGTGATCCTGGCCGATAATGAAAAAAATTGGTAAAAACAAATTATCAGCTTAACCAGTTGTATACCAATGTTTGGTGCTCTGTTGTGCAATAATTTACATATTAACTAAAAATAAAACAGATATCATTGTGTAGAACTTTTTAGATTTTTTATTAACTCAAGGTTATATCATTCCTAAAAATTCCGCTGCAAAAAAAAATGATCATGGGATACGAGCAAGGTTGGAGCAAAATTTTAGTAATTTCTGTCGCAGATAATAATGAAATCGGATAAAAGTGAATTTGGAGGTTTTTATTTACAATTTTAGCATTTATCGCCGGTTGCGAAACCACCTCCTCTTATTTCTTTTATCAAATTTAGGGTTAGGGTGTTTAGGATTGATATAAGAGTCCAAATTTTTGTTAAGGAGTCCTAAACATTTTTACTTAGTACTCTAAACATGTGTTAGTTAGTAGGTTTTTGAGATATAGTATTCCTGGTGATATCACCACTGGTAATAAATAACAAAATCCTTTATTTAACCTCCTAAAACCTACTTATGCTTGTTTATTTTAAATTCTACCCCTAAAGCTGACCCCTAACCCTAAAAGAAATGCATCCCAAAATTTTGTATTTTTCGGTGATCATGGATCCTCATAACCAGCCGGGGGGTTTCGTGGTCGTTTGGGCACTGATTAAATGTAATTTAAGAAATCATTAACTAACTAGTCGATCTGGTATCTCGAATAATTGTGTGACCATTGAAATTATAAGCATAATAATTCTATGATACTTACTAGGATAAGTTATCGGTGGGTCTTCAGGTTTAACATAGCCAAAATATTTCTCACGGATTGGAGGAACAGCAACTACTAACACAGGACCTTTTATTTGAATGAAAAAATATTATTAGTTCGACATAAAAAGGTTATACTTTTATTGGAAACAAAGGACAATAAAATATTAAAGGAATTTTATATGCAAGCACTTATTAATTAACATATATGTCCAAGGTCCTTATATTTCTTACCAAGAAAACCAACACCTAAACTCCAAAAATATACAGTATTTTCAGTTGCCATACGACGCTTTATAAATAAATAATGGAACAAAGAAAATGAGTTAACCAAACAAATTTTTTTTGGAAGGACAAGGTAATTTTTACCAAAAAGTTTAATGGTCTTGTGACAAACGGAATTGTCATTTTATCCTGAACACTTTAGAATTGATATTACAAAAGAAAAATAATCGTACAAGAAAAACGAGTCGTTTTATATTTCATCTTAGATATCTTAGATTCTAAGTGATTGGATGCACGATTCGATCAGTTGCCTACACGATTTGATCACATGATAACAGCATTACTCAATTTTGAATTTACATTCATATAATGATCTACATGTTGCATAATCGTATTCTTGATATCTGTATAACTCGTTAACCTTAACTGCATCAAAAAAGCAATCCTAACTAGTACCTGGAACGTTCCCCTCAATTTATATTGTTGATCGGCTCCGATTTAGTGTACCGGAGAGATTTTTTTTTTTGGCGTTCACAAAAAAAAAAAAAAAAAATGTTTCAGTGTTTGTTACTTATTACACTTATTTCTTCAAAAGCATTGGCCTAGATCATAGTAAAACAAAAATATCAAATACGTATTGATATTGCTCAAATTGTAAATTGATATCCGCAGTTCAGTTTTCTCGCAATTAATTTTGCCACACAAATAAAAAGCATAATTATTATACTTTTGCTGGTGACCCGATACTTGTTCGTTCAATCACTTCTTTTCCCCCTTTTTTCTTGTTTCTCAACAAACAAATAAATGGAGGGTGATCTTCTCCCTCTCAAGCAAGCGCGAAACTGAAAATTTTTTGTCCACTCTTTTGGAATCAAGTTCATAATCAAGTAAAACCAGTATTAGAATATTATATAATGATATGCTATATTTTTATTTATATATAAATCAACTCGTCAAAAAAATTTTCCTGCAGTCATTTTTTCCCAGAGGAGTTTGTTGAGCACTACTTTTTTTTTTTTTTTTTAAAAAAAAAAAAAAAATTACTATATAAAGAGTCATTAATCATCTATTGGAAAAAAAATTTTTCAAAAAAAAAAATTTTTTTTTTTTTTTTTCTTTTTTGCATTTTTTTTTACAACTCTTTTAAAATACGATAAATTAAAAAAAAAAAAAAAGAAAAAGAAAAAAAAAAAAGATTAATCAAAGATTTATTAAGTTATAATTAAATATGGGTCTTCCTATGTACGTTTCTCCATCTCTGTCCAAAAGACAACTCCCACCAAAACAACCACAGTCGCCTCCGTATACACCATATGAAGACACTGATTTTGCTGGGGAACCTTATCAGAATTCAAGAACGAGTGCTTTTGGTAATCGTCGTTATTTTCTCCATCGAAATGTTTCTTCACCCGCACTTCCATATAATGGTGAATACTCCGTTTATGGAGGCGGAGTTAATGGTGCCGGTTCTTATCGCTCGTCAGAGCTAAGCCCGACAGACCAACAACCAATAATAGACATACCAGAATTGCTTCAACCAAGGAATTCCGTCTCTCAACAACCACCACATAACAACCAACCACGAAGAATAAGATCTTCTTCAGTATCATATAATAACTTGGTTCAACAGCATATTCAAAGGCTACATCACCTTCAACACTTACACCGTACAAGGGAGCAACAACTTGCCTCGTCAAATTTAGCTACTAGACGTGGGATGCAATCCGCTCATTTATTAAGTCTTAATCGTGCTCAACAATTTATGCAAGTACAACAGCAACAACAAGCAGCACTTGCTGCCGTCGCCCAAAATCTTTTTCCTACACATGAGGATCAACAAGAGTCTCAAGACGAAATTATTGATCTAAATTTTGAGGAGGTACCATCAGTTCAAACGCCTCGTCCAACGGATATACCTTCCAATAATGCTCAAAGAGAAAATAATAACAATGATGATAGTAATAATAGTAATAATAATAATAATAGTAGTAATAATTCGATAGTTCAACCAAGTCATAACGGAGTTGCTTTAGATAGTGTATTTAGGCGTGTAAATTTACTTCGTCAACTCGTTCAACAAGATAATCGTGTTATGCGACCTACCTCTAGACAACATAGATCATCATCATCGAGTCATGGTAGAATATCAAATACGAGAATATTAACATCACCATCATCCGCACAAACAAGGGAAGAAATCCTTCAAGGTGGAATTGACGCACCAAGATTTATTCGTGTTCAAAGTACACAAGTTCCACCACCTACATTTTCACATATTCCAAATCAATCATTACCACCAGTACCGAGGCGTCTTCCAGCATGGCATAGTATTAGAAGGGGAGCAAATTTTTCGAATGAATCCAGATCTTTAGTTGATGAAGAATTTTATCCAACAGATATTCCTCTTAATGCTTTTGAATATGATTCAGAAAGTTCTATAGAGAATGGACATACCTCTCGTATATTATCACCAATACCAAGGAGGTATGACCCTACACTTACTACTGTTTTTTCTACAGCTCCGCATAGCACATTGGTCAGCGAAAGTGGAGATCGAATTGATGTTGATAGTAGTGCAAATAGTAATTATAGTAGAGGAGAAACTATCAGACAAGAACAACGAAGTTCAGCTTCTGGGGAGGTTTGCTAGAGTTAGAACTTTAATAAGTAATTCTGGTATTTTCGTTGATATGTAAATTATGAAGAACATTTTTTAAGATGGTGTACACCTTTGTAGTTGACATCATAAAAAAGATTTTGGGATGATCCAAAAATTGTATTTACGACAAGGCACTTCGTTTTTATTGTATTATCCCTTGTTATGGATGTGCTCTTGTTTATGCAAAAAAAAATACCAAAAAAAAAGGAAAAAGGAAAAAAATTCACTCTTTATAAAATAATACAAAGTTAAAAAAAAATTACACTTTTATTTACATTTGCACATAAATAATTATTGCAATTTATTTTATTTTATTTTTTTGCGTCTTTTAACGCGAATCTTGTAGATGGCAAGAAAGGGTCAATTACTTTTTTTTTCCTTTATATATATATATATATATATTATATATATTATATATATATATATACATATTGTTATCCATAATAATCTGATTAGTAGTAATTTTAAAGTCAGAAATGACTCCTTCGGACATTTAATTGGTGCTGTACCGATCAGCCATATTTAATTGTAGAAAACTTGTACTGATAGAAGGTTTTTCTAGAAAAAAAGTACTGACGTAGAACGTGAGGAAGATCTCTCGTATCTTTCTTATTATCAAATATATGCGACATTTCAATTTGCAAGTAAGGCTATTGATGAAATGCCAAAAAAAAAACACAAATAATAATAATAATAACGATGTATCATTCTCGCTCTTTTTTTTTTTTACTTAATTTTTTTTTTTTTATTTTATTATAAATATATATGTTACAATTAAACCAGAGATAATAATAATAATAAAAAACATCTAAAAATCAATACGAAAACAAATAGAACGAGTTGCATTTCGCGTCGCGATCGGTTTCTGATTGAACGATAAAAAAATACAAATAAAAAAACGCCACAGGAAAACGGAAAAATGGGTGAGAGGTCGAAGATTAGGCGCCAATTAATTTGTTAAATTCTGATTAATCCGGTCTAATAATATATTTAATCATAGCTATGTAGATATTTAATGTTAAGAATACATAATCTTTGAAGTTCACTCAGAACCACATCACATGATACGAATACATGTAGTATCGGTATTGAATTTCCGGATTGATTAAATTAACTTCTTTAGTCAAAATCTTTTGTTTGTATGAATTTCTCATTTCTTTTCTATAAAAAAAATATAAATACCGTTTATAGAAATTGCAATTGAATATCGATTGTTACAATCAGTTAAATCATGCAACAAATTTTTTTTTTTACTACAGAAAAAAAAATCAAATTTGGTATGTACAATAACAATAGTTGGTTAGTATTTAAAGTAATACCTGTAATCTTTTTAATTTTGTTAGAAGTGACAATGACTTGCGGCGTCGAAATAGTGCCTTAAATGATTGTCCATTATATATTGGCACTCATGTACTTACGCATTATTACAATGGATGCCCAGGATTGGTTTATATAACAATATGTATGTTTCATTAATGGTAATTATTCAGTTTTGAATAACCATCGCATATCGATATATATATACTAGCATATAAACTATAATGTAACTTCCAAAAAAGAGTAAGTGATTGTAAATTTTGTACATATTACGAAATATGCAAATCCGAGGAGCATTGAAATTTGGAATATATTTTTTTTTTTCTTTCCCGAACCACAATTATTTATCATTGGTCACGAAACTTTATTTTGTAATGAAAAAAAAACTCATTGTGTGTATGATATTTTGTGTTATATATGTTATTTTTTATTTTTTATTTTTTTTTCCTTGATTTTCTATTATAAAGTCTGACTGATCTTCAATTACCGTTACGCCACCTATTCTTCCTCATCTCATGATCCATTCATTGCATTGCCGATACATTGTCCAAAAAAATTCTGTTTGTTCTCATGCGAACCACATGATTAAAAAATATACATTCCTATTTTATTGTAGGTTCCAAAAATAATCAAAAAAAAAAACAAAACAGTCGATTCACCTACATGCATATATACACTAACAGCCGTATGACAAAAATAAAATAATGAAATGATGTCAAGGTTTTTTGAGCCTTTCCAACTTCAGATTATGTACTACTTTGCGTAATTTCGATCTTTATCTGAACTTACTATTTGTCTGATGACTTACTCTTCGATACCACAGTATTATTCTCCCACGCTATACATCCTAAATCATGTGAATATTGTGTAAATATAATAAACGTACGTATGTACTAATCTTTTTTTATTCGGTTATATTACAATTATATTTTTTGTTTTGCTCTTTTATTGAATTAAATCTGGATTAAAAAGCTGCATATCATTCATTTAGATTAAAATAAAAAGAATAAATTCAATAATTTACCTTTATCAATGTTATTATAATAATGAAAGTTTCTGTTTATACTTTACTACGTATCTAAATTAAATCTACATATATGTGTTCTACGTATGTATATATGCATGTATGCATGTATGCATGTGGCGAATTTTGTTAGCCCCATAATAATATCATTAGCCGTTATTGTGTTATAAAAAAAAACAATAATATAATACAGTAAATACGTATATTGTTTTTTTTCATCATCATTATCGTTATGTTATTAATCAACAATAACTTGCAAAGGATTATTATAAAATTAAATACAGTCGATACTGTCTAATTGCATACCATCCCCGTCAGACTTTTTTATGCATATACGTACGTAGACAGATACGTATGCATTTAAATCATAAGATCCATTTTGTGTTAATAATTTAAATCCAACATTTTTTATACATTTAGAAAATATATACGTATGAATTAGCTTTATATTATTTGAAGCAGTTCTCTTGATATAGTTGTAAATTATAAAACTCATTTTTTGTTTTCTTAATTATATTTAGAAAGTGATTTTTATACAAGCATTATTACATCTTTCAGTTTGGTTTTGTTTTAAAAAAATTGCAAAATTTAGAAATTACGTTTTTGTAAGATACTAATTAAAGTTATTTAAAATAATAAATCTTATAATAAATTATAAAAAATTGATATTTTTGTATTTTAAGTAAAAGAATTTGATAAAAAAATTTAATTATTATAATCAATAAATTATATAATAACGTTCTTATTTAAATTAAATAGATTAAATGATTTTTATTTATTTCTCAAAAATTTTAGTAATGTATATGTAATAGATACTTCATAAGTTATTGTGAATATTATGAATTAGTATGCAAAGCTGTAGTAATATATAACATCACACATATTATTAAATATTTAATATATTTTATAGTTTTTATATCTATAATATTTTAATGGGTTTGGGTCAAAATCCCGACAAATAGAATTCTGACAGGTCATAATCTCGACAAAAAAATCCTGACAGCTAAAAATCCTGACAGCCAAAAATTCCGACAGTTAAAATTCTGACAATTAAAAACTCTGATAAAAAATATAATAGACCATAGCAAACCTTATCCCAACAATTATCTAAAGTGACCTAACCCTAAAATTAATTAAATTATAAGAGCCTATTTCACTTTAAACATATCTCATACTTGGGGATTTTCTATCTAAAAATTCTAACTGTTGGGATTTTTAATTGTCAGGATTTTTTGTTGGGATTATGACCTGTCAGGATTCTGTTTGTTAGGATTTTGACTTGCACTCATTTTAATTAAGAGGTAATCATAGTTAAAAGATATAAAAATAGCAGTTTCTAATAAAGATTATATATCAAGTCATTCTGGTTCTAATAATAGCAAAATTATTCAAATTGGTTCAGTAAATCATAAGTTATTAACATTTTCTCCTTTATAATTATATGATTTTTATATAATGCCAAATATATATATATATATATATATTTTTAGTAGCAATCTTACCTGTCTGTTTTATTGAATAATATATTATTATATAATTATATACAAAGTTTATTAATAAAAGTACAACTAGTCGAAATATCACTATATAAACAACTCTCCCCTATAGATCCTTTGACCAAAAATTGTTAAGAAGCAAAACACAGAAAAACCACAAAACCAACTAGAAAACAACACTTAAACCCTTAACAAAAAAGAAGCAACAGAAAAGTTACATCTAGCTAGAAAACAAAACACAAACAGGAAGCATAGAAATAGCATAGCTTGAAATAACTTTAAAAAATTTCAACAAAAACAAAAATTTTGAAAAATTTTGAGGAATTCCTGTGACCCTGTTATGAAGATCAATTTAGATTACATAAAAAGCATTAAAAATAAGTAAAGTAAACAAACAAACATGTGTAGTAAAGTAGTTCATTAGAATAAGCATGTGACATAGCAATAACTAAACTAAAATAGCCAATAGTCGAAATATACAAGAAAGATATTATAGATTACATTAAAGGTATAGGAGACAGAAATCGCAGATATGTAGATTGCAAAATATTAGACCAAGTCTTTAAAACACCAATAAGAGGACCAAGTAATATAGAGCATATTGTGAAAGATCTGACAATCTACAATCCAAAACATATTACACCATGAGACTTGCTAGTTTATGGCCAGGTATTAGAAACCTTGAGAATAGCAAAGATAAGCTGGCTTAAGGAAAAAATAACTAACAAGTGGGCAGAAAAGCTGAGAACAATAAGCTATAACCTGAACCTTTTTGAATATGACACAAAAGAAGAAGAAGCATATCAAGAAGAAAGCAGAAAGAATAAGATAAGTATATCAATTGAATCTAATAAAATAAAAAAATTTACCAATAGAGAGCAAAACAAAGAAAAAGAAAACAATTTCAAAGAGTTAGAGTAAGGACTAGAAACACTAGAAATACAAATGAAAGGGCTCAGTATTACTATACCACAACATCAAACAAGTCAAGTCATAAGTAATTGGGAATTTAAAGAAGAAATATCAGCAAAAACCAAAGAAACAGATATAGAAATTATGGATATAGAAATAATAGAACAAGAAGAAGAAATGAACAGTGAAGAAGATGAAACAATGTTTTCAACAGGGTCAATTGAACACAGTCAGTGGTCTCC